TTAAGATCTACTGGCTCTCATTTTCCCACTCAATAGTCAATAAATGTTTATTGCTCAGTTACTCTGAACCCTCATCGGATAACAGCTAAAAGCTTGGCCACTCACCAAAAGACCACCAGTTAGAACCCACTCAGTGACTCACTCCATAGAGAAAAGATGTTGTAAAGACCATAGCCTGCGGGCCAGGTCTACTCTGTCCCACGGGGTTACTACGATTCAGAAGAGATTGGATGTGATCTAAAAACAACACCGATTTAGGTCCTGGGTATAGAGACTGGTGAATGTAATAGGGGAAAAAATCCCTTCCCTTTATCAGCATACATTCTGTCTGCAGATATATGCATCCCTATTCCCTGGTGGAGTAGTGGTTACTCATTGGGTGGCCAACCACAAAGTCAGTAGTTCAAAACCACCAGCCACTAGCTCCTAAGGAGAAAGATGGGGCTCTCTCCTCCTGTAAATAGTTTTTCTCAGAAATTCGGAGGAGGTTCTACTCTGCCCTACTGGGTCAGTATGAATTGGGATCATCTCAATGGCGTGAGTTTGGAGTTTTTCTTTGTTCGTTTATCTATGTTCTTGTGCATCCACACATGCATATGTATGAGATTATCTCTCACTGCCATGGAGTCAATGCTGACTCACAGCGACCCCCTGTGGATTTCTGAGACTGCAACTATTTATGGGAATACAAAGCCTGGCCTTTCTCAAGCAGAGCTGCTGGTGGTTTTGATCTGTTGACCATGCAGATCGCAGCCTAACCTATGAGTACATACCCGCATGTATATATGCATGTAGAATACGTGCTCCACAGAAAACCAAAGTAGTTGAATACAATTGAGGGGGAGGAGCAGGGTGCGATTTGGGGTATTTTGGTTAGGGAAGGCCTCATGCAGAATGCCAGCTGCGCACAGATTGGAGTAAGTTAGCGAGCCTCAGCTGAGAAGCCCAGCATTTGAAAAAGCATCTAATTTCTTTTCGAAAAAGTAAGATTTGACAATCAACAAAACCAAGTAGTGTGTTACTTAACATAAATTCCACCTGCAACCTTAAATTGTAGGAAACTCACCTGCATCTTAAGCTATGTTGCTGATGCCTTCCCTGCCTGGGACCCTCTCCCTCTCTCCTCATACCCACCTACATGCCACACCTCAAACCACTCTCCTGCCCTCTTTAGGCCAAATATCAGTATTGAGCTACTTTTTCTTAGTTTTTTCTCTTATCCTCTCTTTCACGGTATTAATTTCATCCAGTTTCTATCACTGAACGCTTCAATGTGCTAAGTAATTATGTCCCGCATGGAACTCTGTTTAATGTCGAGTACTCTCTATTCAGTCTCTTTGTCCATCAAATGACAAATATTGAAGAAGCACCAACAATCTGATACCAATGGAGACCTGATGGTATGGTGGTTATGCACTGGGCTGTGATCCAAATGGTCAGCTGTTCAAAACTACCAGCAGCTCCATGGGAGAAAGACTGGGCTTTCTACTCCCGAGAGCAGGTACAGTCTCAGAAACCCACAGGCGGTCACTAGGAGTCAGCATTGACTTGATGGCAGTGAGTTTTTGAGGTGATCCGATACCAGATGCTGCAGTAGGA